GTCGGACTCGGACAGCCAGAATGTCTCGGTCGCAGACTACGACGACGAAGTCGAGCAGGTCAGCGAGGAGGTGGACATCATGTCCTATTCTCCGGAGGTCGTTCAACGACCGCAACAAATCCCCGAGCGAGCCCCCGAGCAAGAAAGGTCATCAAGCTCGTCTGGGACATCGGGATCGAGCTCCAGCGGATCGGGGAACTCGAGCGAAGATAGCGAGGAAACGTCCACGAGTGGGCGGAATTCCCCGGCTGAAAGCGTTCGGGAAACGCCTACGAGGGTAATTGGAGATTACCCTCAGGCTGAGCCCCAAGAGGGAAATCGGGCAGACGATGCGGAGCCAGTCGAGGAAGACCCGGCCGAGCCGGCAGCGCCAGGCGGGGACGGGTTCGAGTTCCTCAACAGTGAGAGCGTCGAGACCCAAATGAGCAAGCTGACCAAAGGCGAAGCAGCAAAAATCGCCGCAACTCTCGCCGGTCGGGTCGAGTTCGACACCAGCAGGCAGCTCGGGAACATCATCAAGCGGCATCGGGGAAAGTGGCTCGGGATGCATTACGACACCCTTATGGCCCCGATCACTTTCCCCTTCTTGGGCCTCCTCACCGCGTTCCTGGGTTACTACCAGGTGGTGCCCGGGCAGATCTGCCCGAACGCGCACCGGATGATCGCGTGCTTCCCGCAGATCTGCGGTCGACACAAATTGGAATGCACCATGGAGCTCTTCAATTTCATCTACCAGGTGAAGGTGTTGGTGGCCACGTACGGGGGTGGGTACGTAATGACCCAATCCTAGGCGGACATGTGCTCAATCGAGGGCCTGCCCGGGAACAACCGGGGATGGAAAAACCGGCTGTTCTCGGTGAAGTACGAGCCGTGGATTCTCCCGGTTGAGAGGGTCTGGAGTCAGCGCTTTCGAAAGCAAGTCAGCCCAGCCGAGACTCAAGCCCTCAAGGACGCGGCTACAAAAATATCCGGTGAGATCTATGAATACCGGATCTTCAAGACGCCTGAGATCTACTAGGTGGCCGACTTGCCCGAGCCGGTGTATGACGTGCCCGAGAAGTACAAGCCCGAGCCTAGGGGCGTAACGATTGCAAGGATGCCCGCTCGGAGTAAGCGGAAAGGTAAAGGTCTAACACTAACCATTCCTCCCGACCCTAACACCCCGAACGACCTTACTTCCCGACTAACTGCCTTGTTCCTTTTGTTTTGCAGAAATGGCTAGTTTTGGAGATGAGGACGCTCCTCTACCCCCGGTGGCCAAGATCTCGCTTGGCAAGAAGAAGCCGAAGACGAAGCCAACCGGGGAGAAGGAGGTCTCGCTTGCCCGACTGATGAGCGGTTCGACCCTCACCACGCCCGAAAGCTATGTGGTGGATGCGTCCGAGGTCTTGGTCGCCTGGGTGGCGGTCGGCAAGGGCAAGGAGAAGGTGCCTGAGAAGAGGGCGACTGACACTGGCGCATTGAAGCGCCGTCGGGAACAGCGCAGCCCGAGCCCCTTGACCGGGGGAAACAAGGACAGCTCGTCCATACTCGCCCGGATAGGCAACGCCGGGCCGGCCAAGGAAGACCTGGGAAGCTGACCCCGACCCAGGTAGCCGAGAAGATCAGTCACGACCTGGCCGAGGTAAACACCTTTCCTTCTGTTAATCTTTTTTGTGTAAGTGTCTTCGTTCGGGCTAACCACGACCGTCTTTCGTATTGCAGATCTCCCGAGCGGCACAATTCCTTCAACAACGGGCTCTGCAGGCCAACGAAGCCGAGGCCCTGAAGAAGGTCGCCAACCGGCGATTGCAGGAGATCCGGGACCTCGAAGCAGAGCTCAAGAAGACGAAGGAGGAGCGGGATCTCTCGGAGAAGGTCGCCCAACAGGCGGTCGGGGAGGTGGCCGAGCTGAAGGCTCGTCAGAACGACCCGGACGAGTTGGCCCGGTTCCTCTTCCGGGACAATGAGTCGGGCACTCGATTCCTCCGGTCCGTTCGGGGCACCAAGGTCGGGGAAGAGCTGGTTTGGACGTTCGGCCGGTGGGCATACAAAGCCAGCCAACGGAAGATGCGTGAACGAACGCAGAAGATCATGGAGCAAGCGCTCGAAGGGGATGATCTTCAGCTGGTTCTGACCACGCTCCCTAAAGACATACCCGACCCTGGGCCTCCGCTGTTCGACCCAAAAGAGAAGACGGCCGCCACTCCGAGCGTGTAACACCCCAATTTTCATAACCAAAATTTCCTTAATATTTAATCTTTCTTAATTGAATTATTCACTAATAACATAGCGGAAGCATTAACTAACCAAAAGAAAATGGGTGTTACCGCCACACTTAGACAACTAACAAACCTAAGTGCTAAGGCTAAAATTACAACATTCAATAAATGATCCAAATTCAACTTGATACATAAACTGCAAATAACTTTACAATCATTTAATCTCAAATCTTCAATGAGTCTATTCTAGATAGACTTAATTCCTTCTAAACTTCATTTCATCTCGAATACCTTTATCCATGTTCACCTGTAAAAATAATTAGCAACAAAATAGGATGTAGATAAAAATTAGCATAAGCTAAGTAAGTTTCACTTCACCCCGTAAAATAATAGGCTTGGATTTTAAATTTTGCAAGTTAAAGTACTTATATTGTCTTATACTTTTGCAAACCATATATATATAAATATATGTATACTTTTGTATAATTAACATAGTAGAGTTTGACAAAGTATTAGGTAGTAAATAATCATTTTCCAAAACCTTCCACGTCATTTTTCCAAAATATAACATATTTATCAAGGAGGAGTAGATACCAAGTGTAGAGTCTTTAAGCTCTCAACTTAACCACCAAAAGGCATCTCATAAGCCAATCATCATGAAAATAATTTAGAATTCCAATGTGAGTTCTACCGGCTCACTCCGGTATAATAAAAATATTTTTGTGAGTTCTCCCGGCTCACTCCGATAAAATGACCAAATTCCAGTCGGTAGGTTGTGAGTTTTCCGGCTCACACCAGCACCAAATATCACCCTCCTCCAAGATTTATATATATATATATATATATATATATATATATATATATATATATATATATATATATATATATATATATATATATATATATATATATATATATACACTTTCATGTCAAAATGTTTCTTTTCCAAACTGTAATAATATGAACGTGGAATAATAATAAGATTTCACCACATATATAAATGGAGTAGTTTGTCAAAATAACACCTTTTTCAAACTGATCACATATGATCATTTTTTATATATAAATATCAAAAATTTCAAGCCAAGCATTTACACAACACAGGGGTTCGACACGTCGAAACCCATTCTCGATACTTCGAGAATCACCACTCACAACATTACAATGCACTTGTGATCACATGAACATTATAACTCACATTATAGACATCATACTCATATTCACACAGCATATAATATTTACGAGAAAAAAATAATTTTGATGAACATGAAATCTTACCAAAATAATAATTCCTAGCAATTCCATAAACCGCCCAACCTCCAATTCCTTTCTTTCTCTCCTTCACTTTCTTCTTTCATTTCGTCTCTTTTCTTTCTTTTTCTTTTTCTTTCTTTTTCCCTTCTGCCGATTCACTTCGCTACATAACCCCCATTTTTCTTTTTCTTTCTTTTTCCCTTCTGCCAATTCACTTCGCTACATAACCCCCATCTTATCTTATAATACTAAAATAATTATCTTTCTTAATGTGTCCTGCTAATCAATCACTATAATAACTGTCCATCATCATAATATTCTTTTAATTATCTTTCTTAATGTGTCCTGCTAATCAATCACTATAATAACTGTCCTTTGTAACTGCTAATCAATTATTTTTTTCAACTGCTAATCACATAATTGTTTTTTTTTTCACATGCTTCTGCCGAAAACTCTTAATTCATTTCTGCTTAAATCAAAACAAGATAACCATTTCGCAACTGGCAAAAATCAAACCCAACATCTCAAGATTAACATACAAATCTCAAACCAACACACCAATTCATCTCCTGGTTTACCTCTTATCAAATTATATATATATATATATATATATATATATATATATATATATATATATATATATATATATATATATATAGGGTGCTTTTCTGGTGCACACCACACTTATTGTGTGAACTTGTGCACCATCATGGTGCGGTGATTCTTGTTGATCTGATGGCTCACAATTACAGTGCACCTTTCGGGATGTACCTGCGGAACACATAGCCACAGTGCGAATGCGGAAATTTTTCTTTTTGAATTTTGAATTGTCGACTCCCTACACCTACCTTCACGTGCATGTTTATCGGATGAAGTTTGAGATTTGCGGAAGGTGCACAGGCCTTCTCGTGCATGTTTGTCGGAGGAAGTTTGGGATTGACGGAAACACACGCGAGGAGTTCCGGCGAGTTTGGGTTTCACGGAAACACACGCGAGGATTTCCGGCGAGTGGAGCGGTGTCGACCGGTGATTGTGTTCTGCAACGGCCGGGTGAATCGGCGAGTGGAGTGCAGTAGGCACAGTTGCGATGAGTGTCACGGGGTCTCTAGCGATATCAAGTTTGCATTCCTCCGCATGCATGTCCCCCTGTTTTTATTTACTACATAGCGTACGATGAAATTAGTGGTGTGGGTTGTATTAGGAAGTTCTGTATATCCTTGTAATTACATTAGAATGAATGCATTTTTTCTCACCTCCTACTCCCATACTACCCAGTACATTCACTTTACAGGATGCAATGTGCCACTTGTTCTATTAAGAATGCATGCCATTGTATTCTTATCAATGTTTGGCATCATAGTCAAAACTGATTCTTAGTTTTGAATGTCGTTTTGGTCTTCAGCACTCCTTGTTGATTTGAGTTTGATTCTTGAATTCATAGTTATTCTATGTTGTTGGACTGCATCTGAACTGTTAGTTTATAAGATTGCAAGAGAAATGATTAGACATAGGAACCTTTGGTAAACATGACAGTGCATCTCAAGTATGGACGGCACCGGTCTGATTAACAGTGACCTCTACCGATATCTCCAATCCAGACCTCATGTTACGGCATTGTTGTGGAGTGATTTGTAGACAAGAATTCAGTTAGTTTGATGAAGACTAATCTTAAATTGGGCAGCACTGTACTGCTGTCATGTTCGGTTTTTGTTATTGGACAGGGGAATGAATTTAGAGCAATTATCAGTAATTCTGTGAGACTGCAACATTATAGTATTAATAAGGTACAGAAGATTATACAGTAATGTCTGTCATATGAAAAAGGAAACACTTTTAATTTTTAGTTGTTTATGTTTCTCTGCCCTCGGATAATTGCTAAGACGAAGTACAGTTTTCGATTGCTCACCCGGTAATTCTTGCAACTTTAGCCTGCCTGGTAGAAAAAATCAACACCAACAGACCCGTACAGAGTGCACCATGAACGATATTTGTATGCAATGCTATTTTGGATTAACCTAGAATAATGAAGCTTAGTGCACTGTATTTTAAGGGGAAATTGGACTAATTATGCTGTGTTGTATCTTGAATGCTATTTTATGTTTGCACTGATATTATTATAAGTTGGTCGTTGGTGATAGACCCATTAGACTGGCAGGTTTTCTTTATTGGATTTTTTGCCTCATATGTATCATGTGTGTGTTTTCGTCCGCAGGTGCCCATGCGAGTGAGGCGGACAGTGACTACGTCTCACATGGTGTTCGCGAACTACTAGCCGAGCAAACCACGAATTGGTGCCCGGCTGTGGACAGCGAAATCACCCCGGTTGTTGGGCGGCGTTTCAGCACATTGGACGAAGGCATCGACTTTTACACAAACTACGCACGAGTCTGCGGGTTTGATGTGCGGCTCTACACCATGCAACGGGCCCGCGATGGGGAAACCGTGATGCGTTATTTGGTATGTAACCGGGAAGGCATTAAGGGTGGTGGTATTAGCAAGCCTATCTGTGCACACGGGGATAGTGGAGGCAAGAGGAAGCAACGAAGAAGACAGATATCTAACAGGGTTAAGTGCAGAGCCTGGATATGCTTTAGGAAGGTGAGCAGTGGGGAGTTTGAGATAACTGTGTTCGTTGAGGGACACAGTCATCGTATGTGTTCCGACGCATCGAAGTTATTCATGAGAGTTAACCGAAAATTGGATGTGGCACACCAGGCGTTTGCAGCAAAACTGTGTTAGAGCGAACGTTGGTTCCTCCAAAGGTTTCAAGCTATACAGGGAGGTCACCGGGTCATACGCAAATGTTGGCGCGACGGACATCGAGTTCCACAATTTCAAACGGGACCTCCAGGTATATGTTGATGGCAAAGACGGTGAAATGATTATAGAGAAGTTTAAAACAAAGCGTGCTATGTGTGAGAACTTCTTTTTCGACTACGACCTGGACGAAGAAAACCGAGTTGCGCGACTTTTCTGGGCTAACCCCATCGGTCGTCGCAATTTTTCCTTATTTGGGGACACGGTCTCATTCGATGCTACTTACGGTACAAATAGGTATGAGCGGTACGCTAGTCGTTCGGTTTTTTTTTTTTTTTTTTTTTTGGCCGGAACTCCAGTGCATGCTTAGAACACTGTGGGGCATGTCGTGTGCTTGTGTGTGTCGGGCTTTATGTTTGTGTGGTAATTAATTACATCAAATGCACACCCATTTTCGAATTCTGATAATGAGTATGAAAAATTAAAGTTAAGAGCTACTAATGATATAATTTAATCATGATACATAATACAACCCAAATTTTGTTCCATTCTAACCCGGGGAAAAATTGTTAAACTTTTGATCTATTAATCTTTGGCATAGCTGAATAGGTGCTCACCCTTTTTTTTTTTTTTTTTTTTTTTGTGGATTGTATAGCCGTGTTAACTTTGTAAATTGCCGATTTTGATGAAGGTACAACCTGGTATTTGTTCCGTTCACCGGGGTGGACCACCACAAGCAGTGCATTACTTTTGCTGCCGGGTTGCTCACTAAAGAGGACGTTGAATCATACACATGGTTATTACAGGGGTTTAAGACTGCAATGAGTTCTGTCCCATCGTGCGTGATCACTGATCAAGACCCGGCTATGAAGATTGCTATTGCTCAGGCTTTGCCAGATTGCCGACACCGGTTCTGTATGTGGCACATTATGACAAAGGTGAACGAGAAAATTGGGTCTGACTTGGTAAAAGATGTGCAGTTCCGTAATAGGCTAAACGGTATTGTCTGGAACGAGACCATCAGTGTAGGTGAGTTCGAAGTGCAATGGCATTCGTTAATGGAAAAGTACAACCTAACAACCCACCGCTGGTTCACCAAGTTGTATACTGAAAGGGAGTTCTGGATCCCTGCAAAAAAAGGGCGTAAATGCGGTGTGTGCGGGGAGTACGCCCGTCATAACGCTCGTAGTTGTCCGTATAAGTAAGCAGGTGTTGCGGTACTGTCATAATAAAAACCCCCACCCCTTATCTACCCCCGGTAGACATTGTGACCACGGTATGATTTTATTTATTTTGTTTATTGTAACCCCGTTGGCGGCACCTTTTTGTTTTTTTCCATCTTTGAAACGCATTGCGTTTGTAATTGATGAAGTGCAATCTGTTGCACATAGAACGGGCAGTTGCTACACTTTCTTCTTCTGTAGGCTTTTAAACTTTGTGTAGCACACACTTTGCGTTGCTCACCTTGATTATTTGAAACCCGGCATCCAGAAAAATTATGTCAATTCCCATTTAAATGTTTTATGACTTTCATTTGGTCCATTCATTTAATGTACAAGACGCGTGCATTTGGGCATATTTTTGGCATTCGGTACTACTGATAACTATGACAAGTCCAACGTGCATTACCCCCCCCCCCCCCCCCATATTTATGAGTCCTGATATTTATTCCATAATAGTATTCACTGTTGCAGCAAAGTACCACACAAGGGGTTGAAAAATGAATATAATAAAAATAACCCACCATAGAGGCCGGCTTAGTGTTTCTTTTGTACTTGTAATCGTGTGGCCTAAACCTCTACTTGAGTATTTTAAATCTATTATTCCACCACTACCATAACCAGAATCCCCACCGGAATAGGGTGGTCAAAAAAGCTATTAAACGACCCTCCACGAAATAAAATGTGTTGCACCACTACCGTGCTAATGCTAGTGGCTTTATATACACCAAAAAAATAACATTATCAAGTTTTTTTACTGTCCCAATCTGCATTTCCTACCCATGAATCAACCGTTCCGATCTGATGGAGTCGTACTCCCCCACCCGTGTGACAATGGTACGCATATGGATATTTGCCTCACTGAGCAGAATGTTATGCAAATAACGCCTGCGCAAGTTCAGAAACAATGAAGCGTCCCCTGCTTGTAATCCAGTGTTCCATTTTGGGCAGCGGTCCCCCATAAACGACTCCATATGGCGCATAGTATATATTGCCGATTCTGCGCCGCACGTGGTTTCACCCCATAGCAACGGCATCCTCGTGGGAGTCATGGACCTCAGTTGTAGTGCACGGACTGGCTGATGTTTCGTTTCAAGGTATGCAGCCAACAGGTCAACCTGCAAACAACACATGATTACAATATGGCATGCAATGGTACTAACCGGTAGGGGGGGCGACTATGATTGCATGGAGGTTACCATTTCGCCCGGAGCCCGCCCATACATTTGGACTCCTGTGTCTGTCGGTGGTGCACTGGCAATGATGTCGAAGGCGGGATGTTTGAAATTGATGCTCATGACATAGTAACGGGCTTGGTGCATTATTGCAAAAATATACTGTCACGTTGTACAATTATGTCATCGAAATTGTGTATATTACAGAACATTTTATGCACAGATCATGTCCTTACCATGTCTACTGTGGCCACCCCCACGCGCCCTACAGCATGGACCTCCGCATCAATACGGCGTGTGAACCACGAAAGCCGTTCATTTCTGCTGGCAGCAACATTCACGACAGCCCCAATCTGCACACACACCCACCATCACAATGTAGTAAAATTAGAGTTGGAACAAAGCATGTAGTCAGGTTTAAGTTCCAGGTAATTTCATGCTACAGAGAAGGTTATATTGCACAACTGCTTCGGCCGTACTAATTTTATCACAACGACAACTGACATATACATATTTTAAAATACAGAAAGAGAAAAATGCACCGGACCCCTACACTGGTTAGTGCTTTCCTAGGTACATACCGTAACGGCTGTTGTAAAGAACAAGCGTGAAGGCACACTCCGGCCCCTGGGTCTCTCTCTCGCATTCAGCACAAGACACCAAGCATCTACTACCACTTTGGAGACGTTCGTACCCTCCTTTAGCGTGTGCAGGCTAGCCCATATTGCTTTTCGATTAGCATACTCGAATAGTACTTCATTGCTATCAAATTAAACATACACCAGTTGTTACACAGTTTACGAGATTGCGTCCATATCCCTACATGTGGTGTACTCTACTTACCGGTCACCGTGCGGCGAATTAAAAAGCCACATCCAGACAACATATATTGGTGGTAGTGGAATTGCGGGGTAGCCCGAGGCTGTGCTGAAGAAAAAGCCAACAGGCTCAGGCTCTCGATCGGTGGGTCTTTTGCCTTTGCGGTCTGCCCTTAACTGAGGTGGTGACTCCGATATGATGGTCCTGTCGGGCGCACGTAGTAGAACCTGCATGATGAACCGTACGTGTTAATAAAATAGCACCAGAACTGAGATGCATTCACATAACAATTTATCAATCCATGAAGTCACTATCTTCACAAATCAGCATTATTCGACAATAGTATTTAGGTTATTCACTGCCCGTTAAATCTCAGACCTACAGATCAACAATGATACCTGCGCAGTGGGCGTCACTTCATTTGACGGCCCAGCCGTGGTACCTTTCTGGCGTGGTGCAGTGTGCGATGCTAATTCTGGCGTGGCCCTTGGCCTAGAACTTGGAACGGACGACGGCTGCAACAAGCATCAATAATCAATCTGGACTGCACCAGAACTTGAATTCATTCACATAATGCAAAGGGAAAAAAAAAACAGATTACAAAACACCAACAGACCCGTATAGAGTGCACCATGAACTGAGCTCGCAAAACAGGACCACTTGCATTTTGTATTACTTGTCATCTTTTTCTAGCCTGGTTGTAAAGTGCATATATATAGTGTGTACATTGGATTTGATTCCCCCAGTAGTGAATTTTTTTTTGGTCTCTTGGACATAACCATGACATACTATATGTTTAAGTATACATAGTAATTGATTTTTTATTTAAACATGGTTAATCTACACCCATTAGTCACAACACAGTTTCGTGCACTACTAACACAGCTACATATATACATATATATTTAGTTGGTTAGTCGTGCACTTTTAGGTCTGGAATGCACACTTACCTCGCCAGATAAAAAACCCCAACAGGTACGTATATATATAGTTGGTTACTCGTGCTGCCTTAGGACTGGAATGCACACTACTAGGGCAGAAATGTGGTTGGTTAGTCGTGCAGTTTTTGGTCTGGAATGCACACTTACCTCACCAGAAAATGCACAGCTATCAAACACCCAACCCCCCCCCCCCCCCAACCCCACAGTTCCGTGCACTAGTAACACAAGTACATATATACGCACACAAAGAGTGGCACCTCAAAGAGTGGTAGTGGAACCGTAGTCGCTGTAAAAAAAACAAATTGTAAAAGCATGCAAGGGTACAAGGAATGACATGTCAAATCTGCACTTCCCTCCTACTATTGCCTAAAAACCACAACCTGCTTCATGCTTCCCCCTACTGCCAATTAGTGATGCTATATATATATATATATATATATATATATATATATATATATATATATATATATATATATATATATATATATATATATATATATATATATATTGTTGTACACTATATATGTATTCCATAGCAATATATATAATATGACTACCCCAATTTCAGCTCTCTAATTTCTCTCTCTCTTTTGCACTACAATAGATTCATCACTGGAAAGAAAAATAAGCAGTGGTTTAACCACTAATTTAAAGATGCTTGAATTACATAACTATATGCAAATTGTTGAAAGTCCAGACCATCCTCGCATAGTTTATATGTGTTGGGTGCATCTGGATCTATTCTTCATGTTGTGCTAGGAAAAAAAAAAAAACCACGTATGAAAGGTATGCAGGGAAAACTATAAACTTCTACTCTACATCCAGATGCACCCAACACATACACACTACTACAATCTGAACCAACTAAATTACCATTAACACCACCCCTATGTTGCACTGGAACAACCCCCCCCCCCCCCCCTAATCTACACCCATTAGTCACAACACAGTTTCGTGCACTAGTAACACAGCTACATATACACATATATATTTAGTTGGTTAGTCGTGCATTTTTAGGTCTGGAATGCACACCCATTAGTCACAACACGGTCTCGTGCACTAGTACCACAGCTACATATATACATAAATATTTAGGTGGTTAGTCGTGCACTTTTAGGTCTGGAATGCACGCTTACCTCGTCAGATAAAAAATCTCAATATATACGTATATATTTAGTTGGTTAGTCGTGCACTTTTAGGTCTGGAATGCACACTTACCTCGCCAGATAAAAAATCCCAATAGATACGTATATATATAGTTGGTTACTCGTGCTGTCTTAGGACTGGAGTGCACACTTCTAGGGCAGAAATGCATAGCTATCGAACCCCCACCACCCCCAACAGAACCCACACTACTATAGCACACCCCCCATAACAGGACCAAACATAATGGACAATATAATGCACAAGGTAATGATCTTTAATTTTAACATGTTTATTCTATGCTCATTTCTTTCATTTTTGCACATTGTAATCTACATTCCCCTATATTAAAAAAGGGTAAAACAACACAGAATTAAAACCCCACAACAGACCAGGCTAGCATTGTCATTAAAAGAGACGGAGGTATGCCACTATACTACCCACCACAGCACCACCACCACCCCCCCCCCCCCCAATCTATTTGTTGTGATGTTTTGGCGATAGGGTGTTGGTGTTTAGTAATCAGAACAGAACCCACCATCCTTGAGGTACCATGACAAACCTGGTCAGTTGGTGTAATTACACCAGCCGTGGCAGCTGTGGTATCCACCACCAGCGGTGCTAGTTCTTGCGTCATTCCTAGACTAAAGCTCGGTGCGACCCACTCCGTCATTGTCGTGGTAGAGCCCCCCCCCCCCCCCCCCTGGTGCGGTACCTGCACAAAATAATAGGACCACACATTAGCAGCACACCCCCGTTTAGAAAAAACCAGGTTCTACTGCCACAATACACCTTCCAACCCAATATAGCACCCCCGAACCTGTGTAGTTTGCAATGCTCTAGCCCGCGTGGCTTCCTCCTCTACCCGGTCCAAGTCCCTCAAAAACTGCGTGCTCTGCCACACCGC